GTAATAGACATTAACAGCGCCTTTGTTATCTAAGTGGCAGAAAAGTAAAACATAAAAGTGAGACAGCGATATAAAATAAAGAAAAAGATACAACAATAAATCACACATGGCTTGTGTGTCTGTTTATTTAAAAAAACCACCATCGTAACGCGTGCAAATAAAAAAAAACATTAGTGATAGCTATCTTAAGTTCTTATACTAAAAAGTAAGTCTTATTACATGTCAATAAATATTATACAATAAATTATGTTCGCTTTGCGAACAGAGAAGACCCGGAACGTTTCTGCTTATTAAAAAACAAAGAATTTTATAATATTTTATTGCCGTAATGCAATTTTTGTGCACATGTCGGCTACTGTGATTTATGTTGCATTGTTTAGAATAAACTATAATTGTCATTATATCACATAAATATTGTTACCTTTTTGTGATCTAAGTATAGAATCGAGAATCTAAACCTTGCGTCCACAATATACAAATATCGGTCCTAGTTCTACAGAAGATTTAGATGATTAATAATCAAGTGGCCGAATTGTTCAGAAGATTCGTCCGAACCTGCCGCTTCTTTAGATACTTCACGGTCATAACGTGCGAATATCCAGAAACGATGTGACTTTGCTACAACTAGCAATTCTAGAACTAAATCAATAAGAGAACGTCTTTTCTAGGGAGTTATGGATTTTTATCGACATCAAACATGATCGATAATGTGAGCGCTCTTCAATTACCATCTGACGTGTATTCAAGTATTTCCGTTACCGACCGCTAGTTTCGCCAGGTGGTCGTCCACCTCATCGCGTCACTTTTTGCACTTTCTTCTTATTGTTATGTACCTTTAGGACGCGCACGAAGCGGCGAAAGCCCGGAGCCGCCATTCTTACGTTACGTGGGAAAATAGTATTAAGCACGTGGCGTGAGTGCTTGTTGGAAAATTTGCTACAATTCGGCTGTTTGACGCATCGAGTATCTCATCAGAATTATCGGTAAGGCGTGCCATCACAATTCAGTCACAGTATGTAAATTATCAATAATACTCGTAAATTTTCACAACATTCCGGTATGGAGAATGTGCCGTGTGCTGTCTTGGCGGCTATGCGGTGCCCGTCTGTACCGTTTCTGGCCTGCGGGTTTAAGACGCGATGAAGTACAAAAATAAGATATAAATAACGAGGGACAGGCATAAATACGCGGTCGGCAGTGAGCGAAGATCGATACAAGCAGTATAAATGTTTAAGAATGTTGCACTGATGTTGAGTTTCTGAAGTTTTTTTTCTTCGCTAAATTGTAACGGTATTTATTACGTTACGATATTTCATACGCGATCGGGTCTCTTCTATACACTGTTCATTGTAGTAGAAAGTTATTCATCCGTTTGTCTCTCAATTAAATCAGTTTCCTGTCTACTTGTTGTAAGATTGTTTCGTAGTATCAATGTATATTGCTTGTTAGTTAGTTTTTTTTGTACTTAATATTTTATTTGTATATTTTTTATCTTGTCCCGGGGCTCTGTATATTCATGTTCTATTTATACATTGATCAATTAAATTAAACTCATTTGTACCGTAATAGTGTATTTTTGTTTTGTATTTTTTTACACATAACAAAAGTGTAATTTATATTTATTCTGCTCAGTGAATAATTTAGAGATGTGCTACAATACATCTATAGGCAAGTGTCTAAATATATTTATGTGTAAGTAAATAGCAAAATATTGTGTTTCCTATTATTTATTTATAAACTGTCTGTTTTGTGTGTACTTATGATATATATATATATATATATGATATATTTGTACTCGATAAAAAAATTATATATTCTGTAATTCTATAATTCTTGCATATTGGTAATTTTTAAGATTATTCAAGATTATCTCAAATGTTTTTTTGGTTAATTTTTTTGTGTCAATATAAAATATATTTTTAAGGTGATCTGGTTGTTTAAATCTGATTGTTTTCATTCATAAATAGATTTTTTGATCTCACTTGCTACTTAAACATGCATCTATATGCAAGAGAAAACTATAGTCTCAAAACAATATTCTCTGTTACACGCTATTCATTCATATATATACATATATATATATAAGCGTAAAAAATTAGAAATACATAAGTATTTTGATATCTGTTATGTTTTATATTTTTTTATTTACATAATGTTAAATCTCTGTGACATTATTTTATTAACTGTATAATCGAGGTAGATTCAACAGCTCAATTAATTACATCCAACAGCCTCTCTTTAAAAAACACAATTCTTTCAATTTCTTTAAATTAATTATGTAATTCAAAGTATAAGAATTAACTTGTTGTGTGGATTTAACTGCTTTATTAAAACTATATATTTTGTGTATATGCGAAACTAATAAAACTAAGTTGTCTCATATATAAATTACTTTTGATTTAATAGTGTTAAAAATAATTTACTCAATTCTTGTATTTTGTTCGTGTGATCAGACAAGAAAGAAGTCAAGATTTTTAATTCAAGTTTTTGTCAGCTCTTATTGACAAATCTCTAATTATAACTTACTAATCTCTAATTATATCTTAAGAAAATCGAATTAAAAATCTCTAATCATATCTTGCAATATCCATTTTTTTTCTGATGCATTTACTAAGCTTTATTCGCGACGATTAATCTTACGATCTTAGCGCGCTCGTTCAACATTCTGAGAGCAAATCAGTATGCATTGTTTGATTTGTAAAATGCCGCATTAATGTCGAAATTGCTAAAATTTAATGATTTGATAATGTGAATTTTAACTATTATATACATACTATAATTTTAACTATTATATACATACTATATATGTATATATGTATATCTCTTTGTATATACAATGCAATAACATTTTCAGCAAGCTTTTATAGCGACTGTTACCTACTTTTAACGATAAAAAATTAAACAGAAAAACGTTATTCTCTGTCTCAGCCCAGTTTCTCTAAATAGAATCGATCGAATTCTGCACTATTCGATTTGCACCAAACGAGTTATTGATATTTGTTTTCTTTTTCCTAGAATTTCTCTTTGCACTGTAATATAGTGTTGCCACTGCTTTCTCGCTGTGTATAACTAACGATCTCGCTTTTTCTAACAAATCGCTTAGACATGGTGCTTTTGCATGATTCTTTTATGTAGATGTTTGTAAATTTTTGTTTAATAAATAATGTGATTAAAATATAGTTGGCTTCAAGTAGTTCTCGGATACCTTGTATATTTTTTGTCTATAATCTGATAAGTCTGTGATACGAAGCAACGTTACATCACGCTTGGCGAAAGTGATAACTGTTTGGTTATTTAGAAACGGATCGTCTGTTATCGGTTAACTCACGTGCGCCAATAACAGAAAAGTTATTAAAAAGTAAAATAATGTTATGCAATTTTTTTCCCCATTCACGGAGCTTGCACATATGTAAGATATAAATTGTGGCAAATTTTTTAATAAAATAAATTCCACTTTAAGTAAATGATACAAGAAAAGTTACTAATTTTGCTCGCATCACTTTTGCGGCGTTCTATATATCACTGAAGATCACGCCTTGAAAATGCCACCTTACGTGGCCGCGCCTACGTAATCGGCAAGCGGTACCGGTCGGAACTGGTCCTTGATATAACTACATGTTGCAAATTTTGCAAACCGTATAGGCGTTTATTTTTTAAATGTCTTTTTACTTATCGTAAACTTAAAAGTACTTGTATTTATTAATTTTGGATGTATATTGCATGTATTTGGGAACTTTTGTGTATCTGTATAAAGTAGTACTTGTGCACATGTGTAATATTAATTAAAGACTGCGTGAATATAATTTTAATCTAAAATATTTTAGCAATATTCTAGTGTCTTAATTATTTTAGTTTACATATAAAACGCACATCGGCGTACACATACGTGTACATTATGCGTATATATTACTTGAATTATCTTATTTACATATTGTGCACAATGTTATTTCACTTTGAATATAATAAAGTCTCACTAATTTTCTTCTCAAACCTTCTATTGTATCTTCATTTTAACTGGAGCTTATTATTGTTTTGTTGCATATTTCATTTTATATTCTTCGATTTCACTGTCATACAAACATATGTGATAATAATAATAAAATGTGATATTAAGCGCAGTAATAAAATTCTGCGAGAACATTCCAACAATAAATATTACCAGTCTTATCAATGTTTAGTATGTTGCAAAATAAAAACAACGCAGTTAGAGAAAAACTTCTTTTCTAGTAAAAAAAACTTGTTTTTTAATGTTTATATTTCAAGCTGTTTATTAATTTTACTTACATGTTGCGTGAATAAAAGAATTTGACTTAAACTTTATTGGACTTTCTTGTCTTGCACGTTGTCTCGGTTTACGCACACTGTGTTTTGAATAATCGCTGATCGCAGATATTTATTTTACGTGAACAGCGTTGCGTACATAAACAAAAATTATGTGAAAAAAACCAAAAATTATATGGCAGTACACACACGTTCGTGTTAACATAATTATAATAAGATCTTGCTGGTAGAGGCTTCAAATTAATCATTTCTCAAAGCTGTTGGTATCTGATATGTGAAGTGTGAAGCATATTAATATTTATGGAAACTCATAAACACTTAAGAGTTCTGTTTTTTTTTTAGATAAAGTTGAATATAAAGTAAATAATAAAAGAGTATAAAAATTTATACTCTCTGTGTGTTTGTATAACTCTTAGAAGATTTCACACCGGAGAACATGTTGCGTCGCGCAACTACGATTAGTTGAAGTAAGAATATGAAATGCTATTTCATATTAAAATTACGTTCTGATTGATAGCGTATTGCTTGGTATTGCATAACAACGCACTTATAACATTATTACGATATAATGAATATCTGTGTCACATGAATGTCTGTATTTGTTGGCTTGTAATTGACACTTTCCTGTTTTTAATGTTACCAGAACTCTTAATATATTTCGAGTTTCAAAATCAAATATGCTAGCTTCACACACACGTTATATCTACCTCGATTTTCAGTATCAACTGCAGCTACAGTGGATCGTTCGCAGTATGAATTCTTCAATTCATCTACAGCAGTTAGTGAAGTGGACAATCCCAACGGTTGCCTTTGTCTTCGCCCTCTTTTGGTACAAACGTCGCCGGAGTGACAGAGGTGAAGCCCAATGGAATGACCCAGGAGGGATCACGGAAGAGACGGCTTATAAAAAAAACACAAAGGAAGCGGACACAAGTCTTTATGACTCCAGCGTTCAAGAAGACAATCAATCCTCAATCAACTGTTCCTGCACGAAACAGAAGAAAGAGTCGTCTCGCGTCCCAGGGAAGGTCAGCGAGAGCGTCTTAAACAAATCGTCGTCACAAAACTCGTCTTCCTGCGACAGTAGTCAAAACAACAACCGCACGAACTACTCTGAGATGATCGCTGAAAGTCAAATTGTGTCTTCCTTCGAATCTGACAATGTCAACATCAGTGTAACAAAGACGTTTCAAGACGCTGCCGGCGAAACGAAACAGCCTCTGCAATGCAAAACAGAATCATACGATCCAAATTATAATCAATCGGATCAATACGATTACAGTAAGAATAGCCAAAACATTAAGAAATATACCAATGATGCCATCAAAATTCAGGGACGAACGAATGAGAGAGATTCGGCCAATCACAGCCCAATTTCCGAAGTGTCTGGAGGTTCTAGTAGCCTTACAGATGAAAGTGAAGAAAGCATGGATAGCGGGAAAGGTATTTTACCAATTATCAGATAACAATAAATAAATAAATATATTTCATTACATATTATTTCATAATACATGAAGACCACAGAGGAAGTCACATTTTCGCAAGAGGAGGATATATTCGAAACATGTATTTCTGTGTTACACATTTTATAAAAATGTTTATATCTCTAAATCTGTCAAGAATTTTCCTTTCTCGCTTTGAATAATTAAAATACTCCATTTTAACTAACAAAACATCAAAAACAGACAATCGAAAAAAATTGACTTATCAAGTTCTTCTCCTGTGGTTTTCGTATAAGAATTGATTTTGTTGCTCTTGCGATTCGAAACTTATCGAGCACAATTTCCGGGTTAGAACCGTTTTTTTTTTTTTTCATATCGACATTTCAGTGAACACTTCAGTTTATTTTATCATGGTGAATAGTGCCTTGATGTTGAAATATTATTTCTTGAAAGCATTTTATATTGTAACAGACAACTTTTATTTGTTGTTTTCAGGGAGTATTGTTCCAGGAAGAAATAATAAACATAAAAAGGACAATACTGAATCCACTTACGATTTTGCCATACCGCAACATCTAGTGGGTAGATTGATCGGTCGTCATGGTACCTTTTTACAAAGCATCCGTACAAAAGCAGGCGTCGACATATATGTAAATGATCACCCTTGCAATGGCGATCATAAGATTTGCTCGATACAAGGCAGTGTTGAGGGAATCAACGTCGCGCTTAAAATCATAAGACAAAAGTTCCCGGAAAAGAAGTTTCCGCAGATGACATTAGTAAAGATCCCAACAACGTTTGAAATGAACGAGGCCGTGCACAACGTTGTTTATACACCCTGTATACCCTGTACCCTGTCCTTGACGGAACAAGTTTCTAATGATGTAATTATTTCTCATATCGTCAAACCAAGCTGGCTCTTCGTTCAGCTTCCAACTCATCCGACATATCCTCACTTGCAAAATCTAGAGAATCAAATGTTAGATCATTATAATAAAACTACAGAATTTCCATCTGTGGAAATAACCAGTAAGTAATAAAACTTTTCGTGTACCACTTTGTTGCGCGAGACATTATCGCGTCTCTTGATAATCGCTTATAGAGTTTACGCAAAATTAAGAAGCCTGTGTATTATTTTGTAGGAGGACACTACGTAGCTGTATTTTGGCACAAGAAATGGGTTAGAGGATTGATTGAGAAAATTGATACGTATGGAGAAAAAAACATAATACGATTAATTGATCACGGTGGTTATTGGAGTTTTAATAATTCAGAATATAAGCCGCTGACATTGTATTTCCTTCAAGCATTGCCTTTTCAAGCAATCGAAATATTTGTAGCGAATATCCAGCCAAAGAAAAGTAACTGTTTGATGATGTCACTTACAATGCTTTTTAAACACTACAAATTATACTTTTTTTATTTTATCGAGATTAGTGTTAAGCGTGTAACCACTTGGAAATTGTTTGTGTATTTTAGGTGAAACATGGTCACCAGACGCGTATGATTCGGCGTATGAAATTTGTCATCAGAATGGGGTTGCTGAAGCCCATGTTGTAGGTCGTATTGGCGATAATGTGTACACAAATATTTATTTTTACATTAAAGAATATGGGGTAAGTATCTAGGATATTGTTTCCACAAGTATGGTGTATAAATCTCTTTGGTTTAGATTGCATTTAAATTTAAATGTGTATGTTTTCAAGCATATTTCCTTCGCTGAGGAATTAATAGCGAAAGGACATGCAGAACATGTGGCGCTGGAGGACACGAAACCGGAATCATTTGAATCTATATGCACGTAAGATATATCAAGATCAGCGCGCGCGCGTGTTATTTACACGTTAGGAAATACAAGACTAAATAATTTAAGACAATGATAGAGTTTTGCATAACTCTAGAAATAGAGTCGTTCTATGTAAATATCGTCGATATAATTCTTTGATCAAGTTTAAATCTAATTATTTCGTCTTTTGACATTATTTACATTTGCCTGTCCATTATTGCGAAAAACTGTGAATATTTTGACATTATACATACTTCATATATAACAACTATATACATAAAAAAAGAGTATACATAAAAAAGAGTATTCACACAAAAGTATAATAATTATACTATATAGTACAATATATAACGCGTCTTATACAATAATGGATAAAAAAAAAAAAAAAATAATAATAACAGTTATGTTTCAATGTACGAAGATATCTATAAAAATCTTTTTTTATTGCGTTAAAATATTTCTAATATCCCCGTTAACGCTGCTACGGAAGAACGCATAAGAATAAACTCGTGGATTCAAACGAGTTCTGACAAGTACAAAGGATTTGATTTAATCCGATAACGTAAGACCTGTTTTTTTTTTTACAGCAACCCCTCCCGAAATTTATATCGCTATACTGTTGTCCCACTTTTATCAAAAAACTTTTCGAAATTTTTTGTATCGATATGTAACATTTTTCGAAAGATGAGTTTTTCAGATAGTTTTTTGTAAGCATCTAAAAAACCTCATTGCCCTACAACGTAATGTTCGTTGCAAGGAAAAAAAGACCTGCTTAACGTATTACAGTTTTGTATATAGTGTAAAAATACTCTCAACACAGTAGAATATTTATATACGTTCTCTCCCTCTTAGAAAATTATAAAAAAAATATGTTTGTTACAACACACATTAATCAGAATGTAACATTTTGCTGTAATATTTATCGCAGAAAAGACTCTCAAAAATGACTGCGTTTTAGTAGAAGTATGTCTAATTTAAATAAAAATTAGACGAATCGAGAAATTCAGTTCTACATGACTTATATCCATTGAATGAATGGAAACAATTCGGAAATTATTTCGTGCTCATTTTATACTAAAAATACCACAAAACACTATTGTTAAACGTTGCATTCATTGTCTCTAAAGTTTATATTTGTAAACCATCATTGTTTAGTTAACTTACCTTTCAAACATTATTTTTCAATGTTATGTATTTATAATCAAGCGTAACTTTACATCATCGGCATAAAATAATAATTTTATGCTTTACACTAATTATTTTCACAAAACGTGTGATATTTTTAAATATTTTTTTGGTATATATACATATAGACTAAGTTTTTGGATTACTCCATTACAAACGTAAATTATTGTAAATATTTTCATTGTTCGCTTAAAAAAAATATCAATAATTTTTGTTGCGCAACTTTGCTAATGCTAATTTCTTTTTTTATGCAACATGTCGATGTGGTATAGAAACAGGAAAATATTTGAACATGATTTCTATTTTGTGTACCGCTCTTGAATACAGACACAAAGTTATTAAATGTTGATATTTAATAATGTTAATTGAACATAAATAGAAATATTTTTCTAGGAAAACATACTTGTGTAAGAATATAGTAATTGGTGAACAACATACATGCTGTTTTGCGCGCTGCGATTGTGTCTAAAGATTTATAATTTATTATAAAATTCTTTAAATTAGCCAATATGACATATAGCGCAACGGATATCGTTAGGTATGATAGCCAATTCTACTTCATAAATTTTTTCGTCTTTGTGTATATAATATGTAGCTGACCGTAATTTGACTATTCAAATTTCGTACTAAACACTTTATCATTTATACTATATGTAATCATTTATCATTTATGGTAATTTACGTAACTCAAGTTCATTTTTTGTATATACACTTCAGAATTCTCATTAAACATGTATGTCATTTTCATCGAAAAGTTCTAACAAAAAATAATATTCTTTATACATGTTTTATAGAATAAAGTATAAGCGGAGATACAAAACAAAATTATATGCAAAAAATGTCATTGTTTTGTATTGTGAGATAAAAATAAAGTGTTTGTAAAAAGCTAATTCAAGTTAGAGTTTTGTTTTTTTGCCCGTAAAATGTTTCTTATTATATTTTGTGAATTGTGTATATTAAATATTGTTTACTTGTTTATTTCTTTTTTTGTAAAATCTTTGTGTCAACATTTGCTTCGTGGGTTAATTGATCCAGTTTGAATCGGAGTTGCGTCAAATTTCCGTCCGCGCAGACTTTTATCGATCCTTAGCGATACATCGGATGAAGGAATTTTGTTGCGTATCGAGTGTATAGTCGATACCAACAGAAGATATCGATATACTTGGTCGCTTCTCTTTCTTGCTGCTATGTCAAAGTTATGTTCTCGCGCGTTGTTGCACGTGTAGTTGTGCGCTGTCGCTTTGTGAGTCAGCAGAAAGAGAAGGGAGTCTTTTCTAGTACCTTGCAGCGGTTGTTGTCAGTGAGTACCGTCGGGAACGGCGAAATAAAACCGCAGACCGCGCGAGCACACGATCACGGAACGAGCGAGACGATGTCGAGCGAGGAGAAAAAGCCGTTTCGCCGTCTGCCATTGTTTGTTCGCCCTTATCACTACGAAATCACTCTGACGCCAAATCTTAAGGCCTTTACCTTCGACGGCACGGAGAATGTGCATCTCAACGTAAGTTAGAATCTTGTTTATATGCTTTGCTGTTTCTTTTTCAAATAAAAAAAACAAATAAACTGCAAAGTTTCGCAAAGTGTTCCACATGGCAAACATAACCAAAGGTCTATTCTCTATAATTGCACTTTCTGTACTCATTCTCATGTTTTTTCTCTCTTCTCAGTCGTGTTTATTTCGATTTTGAGTGCAAACAAAACGAATTACAGTGCAACTACGAAGAAGAGATTTCAAAGATAACCGGTTTTCCTTATCGCAGCTATTTAGATAGTATTTTAAATTTAAATCTAATCAGAGAGAGAGTAAACATTTCTATCAGTCTTATCTTACAACCGCAGACAATTGCAAATTTGATTTTTGACTGATAATTATCAACATCTGTTTCTTATTTTACATTGATTTGTATCTTGTAGATGCACTTGTACAATAACATGATTTTTATATTAGTTTGTTTTTTTCATCATATTTAATTCTTTTTGTTTTGGAACACAGGTGGAGAGCTCAACTGGAATCATTGTATTGAATTCTTTGGAAATTGATATAAAGAGTGCAGTTTTTCATGGAAATGATGGCAAAACTATTCCAGCCAAGAAAATTGAATTATCAGCATCAGAAGAAACAGCCATGCTGGTGTTTCCTGAGGCTTTGCCACTTGGTAAAAGTGGGTACTTGAACATAGAATTTGTGGGAGAGATTAATGATAAAATGAAGGGCTTCTACAGGAGCAAATACAGCAGGTGAGAACATTTGATTTTATAAATGTACAAAATTTATAAGCAAGTCATATGAGTTCATCTAATTAGAAAAGAGAATTTTTTAATAGTATCGATTTATTGTTTGTTACTTTTATTACATAATTAAATAAAAGATAGATAAAGATGATACTTTAAATTATGTATTTTGCTTTTTCAAAGGCAGAATGGTAATTGCATTGTAACTTATTTGTGCCCCACATCAGCTCGGAGGTTCTTTCCATGTTGGGACGATCCAACATACAAAGCAACTTTTGATATACACCTTAGACTTCCATCTCAGATGTCTCTTGTTGGCTTGTCAAACATGGTGAGAATCTTTTAATATAGTATAGAACTTTTTTTTATGATTTCAGAGAGGATGGTACAATTGAGCATTCGGCGGTTACTCAGTTTGAACCAACAGATGCTAGACGTTGCTTTCCATGCTGGGATGAACCGGCGCTCAAAGCCACGTTTGACATTACACTAAAAGTACCAATTGGTCTTACTGCTCTTTCCAATATGGTAAGCAACGACCGGCATCTGCAATATTATTTGCTTTTTTTTTTTGCTTTGCTTCTCTATATGATCTGGTTTTTTTTATATATTTCTTTAATGTGCTTTTTATATGTTATATATTAGAGTTGCTTTGTATTGTATATATACATGTATAAAAATGTGTTAAGTTCATATGCTTTTTTTATTTTTCAGCCTGTGAAAAACAAAGTTACAAATGGTAACTACGAAACATTGACTTTTGAAAGAACACCTATTATGTCGACGTACTTAGTAGCCGTAGTGGTGGGCGATTTTGATTACATAGAGGACACGTCTAGTGACGGTGTGTTAGTTCGAGTTTATGTGCCCAAAGGAAAAAAGGAACAGGGTCAATTTGCACTGGAAGTCGCTACCAAGGTGCTGCCTTATTACAAGACTTACTTTGGTATTGCATATCCGCTACCGAAGATCGATCTCATAGCAATCGCTGATTTTTCGTCAGGCGCAATGGAAAATTGGGGTCTAGTGACCTACCGCGAGACCTGTCTTTTAGTAGATCCGCAAAACACGTCAGCAGTGCGCAAACAGTGGATCGCTCTGATAGTAGCACACGAGCTGGCGCATCAGTGGTTCGGCAACCTCGTAACAATGGAATGGTGGACGCATTTATGGTTGAACGAAGGCTACGCATCTTTCGTAGAGTTTCTCTGTGTCGCACATCTATTTCCAGAATATGATATTTGGACGCAATTTGTTACGGATACGCATATTCGAGCGCTGGAACTGGATGCTCTGAAGAACAGCCATCCGATCGAAGTGCCAGTCGGTCATCCCTCGGAGATCGACGAGATCTTCGACGATATTTCGTATCACAAGGGCGCTTCCGTAATTCGTATGTTGCACGCGTACATAGGCGATGACGACTTCAGAAAGGGTATGAATCTGTACTTGAAGAAACACAGCTATGCCAACGCAGAGACTGAAGATCTTTGGGCCGCACTGGAAGAAGCCAGTAATAAAGCTGTGCGTAAAGTAATGTCATCATGGACCAAGAGACAAGGTTTCCCCGTCGTCAAAGTCGATCATCGTCACGAAAACAACGTAAGAATCTTGTCGTTATCTCAAGAAAGATTTCTGGCTGACGGATCGGTTGATACCGAAGCGGATGATGCGTGGCTCATACCGATAAGCATAAGCTCGTCAAAAGATCCGAGCAAAGCGGTATACGACGGCATATTAGACGCGAAAACCAAGGAATTCGTGATCGAAGATATTCCCGAGGGCGCTTGGCTGAAGATCAATCCCGGTACAATTGGCTTCTACCGAACTCGTTACAGCCAGTCCGCTCTGTCATTACTGTTACCCGGGATCAAGGACCACACATTGCCTCCTCTAGATAGACTCGGTCTGCTGGACGATCTTTTCGCAATGGTACAAGCGAGTCATGCGTCTACCGTAGAAGTGCTCGAGCTCATGCAGGCGTTTCAACATGAGGACAATTACACTGTGTGGTCTACCATAGTAAACACTCTGAGCAAAATCGGCACTCTCATTTCGCACTTAGATTTCGAGGATTCCTTCAAAGCGTTCGGACGCAATCTGTTTCGCGATGTCAACAGCAGGCTAGGTTGGGATCCTAAGCCGAACGAGAGTCATTTGGACACGTTACTGAGAACTCTCGTGTTAGGTCGTATGGCAGCTCTGAACGATCAGGATACCATTGAGGAAGCGAAGAAGAGATTCGAGCTTCATGTGAACGGCACAACTGCGCTCGCCGCCGATCTGCGCAGTCCGGTTTATCGAGCTGTGCTTTCCGTGGGCGACGCCAAAACTTACGAGACCATGATCAAACTGTACAAAGACGCCGACTTGCAAGAAGAGAAAGAGCGTATTTTACGGGCGCTCGGTGCGATCAAGGACGAGTCTTTGCTGAGAGAGGTTCTGGACTTCGCCATGAGCGAGGAGGTCCGAGCACAGGATACCGTGTTCGCCATCATGTCGGTAGGTCTGTCGTATAAGGGTCGTCTGATGGCGTGGAATTTCTTCAAAGAAAAATGGAAGACGCTGTTGGATCGTTACGAAGGCGGTTTCTTGTTGGCCCGGCTAGTAAAGTTCACCACGGAGAACTTTGTTACCGAGGAACAAGCCAAAGATGTGGAGAATTTCTTCAAGAGTCACCCGACTCCGGGCACTGAGAGAACGGTGCAACAATGCGTGGAGTCCATTAGGCTGAATGTCGCGTGGCTCGCCCGGGACAAGGACTTGATCAGAGATTATCTGACCACTCAGGTCTAGTAAACGCAGTTTGTTTTCCTTATCTTATTTTGATAAATCAATTGGACATCGGCATAATTTGGAATTGCGTGTGAACTGGTTTGTATTCTTTATAGCACGAAGGTTTCACGCAATATTGCTTGATATTGTGAAGAGCAAAATCAGTTACATATACGGTTTCTCGTTTCACTTCCAATTGTGATCACGAGAACGATAATTCAATACGAATCATGTGTATCACGCACGCTTGGCGTATAAAAAAAAAAAAAAAAGAAAAAAAGAAAAAAAAAAGAAAAACAAATTCGTAATATTAATTGAAAAACCTCTATTGCGCGAGAACGAGTAGAAATATCGTTTTTGTACACACTTACCTCATCGACGAGTCATCTTGATACACTATGTTTTTTTTACAGTGTTCTTACTCGTTTACTGGTTTTGTAGATTAGTTCGTCATAGAGGGGATGGCATTTACAACAATTTATTTTGGATGTTTTGTCACTGGAGATAAAAGTTGAAATTTATTGTATACAACAAACTGTTATATATTATGCAACTGTTACAGCTTTTATTTTTGATGACATACCGCAGTAAAATATATTTAAAACATGATTTAGAATTTATTAATTGAAAGGTCGATCATTTCTAAAAGTTGTATCAGCAGTATTTATGGGGTAATTACACAATGCGAATGTTTTTTTCTATTCTTTTATTAAAAAGGAATACTCTTATATTTGTGATGATAAAAAATTATTCTTTCTGATGATAGAAATAAACACAATTCAAACTAATCTACCACAGCTGATAAATTATTTCAATACAAATAACACACTTTTTTTAAGTTATATTTTTTATATCTTACTGATATATGATATAGGAGTGTAAACTCGATCCCGTCGATATTTTACAAGAGAGTCCACAAAAAAATTTGACACTGTTTCAAATAAAAGTTATGTGCAATTTTTTAATATTTACTTTGTGTGAATTATCTCTTTAAAAAAATAAAAAAAATAAAAACGTGTGGGGGTGGACTTTTTGTATATATACTTTTTGTATAATATTGCGAATGACATTTTTTGCGTCACATGTATCTGTGGGATGTAGTAAACCCCTGTATATATTGATGGCTGCACGTGCCGAAACAAGGAAGGAAGATGATCCCCGATAGTGAGTCAGACTTCGTTTCTATTATCAGCGTGCCATTCACCATCACCAGTTGGCAATCGTTATCAAGTAATTCTATTCTTCCTCTAAAAAGAATTACTTTTCTCCCCTCTGTTACATCACTGCTTTTTACGAACTTTCGAAGTAGCAGCTTAAAATCGAAGCGAGAATAACACAAAAGCAATACCACAGACTATATAAAACGTTTATATTGTTCGCAAAAGCAACATTTCTCCCAAATAAGGGCTATAAAATCAAATGCTACATATATTGACGAATGCTTTTACGAAGAGTTGCCCGACTTCTCTAGGAGGTAATGCGCGTTCCCTCATTTATTCGCTATCTCTCTCAGATCAGAGGAAAGAAAAGCGGACATGAGCGATCGAGGGGAGAAGAGGAAACAGAGAGGATGTCAAGGGACATGGGGTTGGAGTCAGTTCCCGTGGGTATAGCCCTGCTCGAGCGTTCCCAGGAACGTGCACGTGACCCGCGCCAGAAGACGATCAATACGGACTTTGCGAACTCCTACACCCCGCCAGAACGACGTGTCGCCCTTATACAGTTTCGCACACATCCTTCGCCTTCCGACGAGACTGATGGTGGTAACAACGAACGACCGCCACCCCTCCTCGCACGTGTGCGTGGATTGTTGCGCGCACGTGCGCCTATTTAATCTCCCCTTTCCATTTTCTGCCAACCTCCTTCCGTTCCCGATATCACCAAATCCTTGCGGATTTATGGTTCCTAGACGCGATGCAGGAAACACGCTTCTGAAGTTTTTTTTTTTTTTATATATATACATTTTAAAGCTGTATTGTTAAAAATAAATAAATTGTTCTTATATTTTCTATAGAAAAATAATAAATTTGCGTTTGTTTTAAGAAGTGCAATAGTTACTATTATTTGTTTATATATTACTCGAAGTAATATATATCGCGTTTTTAAAAAATATATAAAAATAAACGTATAATAAAACCGTATTTTTTGTCAAGCTAATGTCATAGAAAAAAAAATTGAATTTTAGAAATATGTAAAGTTATGGTTTTATTTAATAAAGTTGTAAATACGTGTGTGTGTGTGTGTGTGTATAGATGTTTGAGAGAGAGAGATGAATGGAATCGGTATCTATTGAGAACAAGGTGCACTCATTCATAAAATGTGACGAAAAGTAATTTATAGACACAGTTTGTATTTATTTTATGTGTGCGAATACGCCCGCGCAATGATGTATTCTTACAGCCTTTCAGTCTTCGTAAATATACAATATCCACGCGGGTTTAGAAGAGGAAATCAGAGCTTTCTCTCTCCCCTTAAATTATAATATAAGAGACTATTTAACACATACAATAATCGTACACAATAACAAAGATACCAGGGAGATATACAATGTAGAGCTCAAAAATCTTAAAAAAGAACGGGACCTGAAATACCCTTAATTTAATTGCGACGAGTACAATTTCGCAAAAAGTGCTCGTGCAAAAGTTTAATTTTGCCATCTTAACTCGAAATCTTGAACTCATCTCGCGCGTAACAATTCCTCAAAATAAAAAATTTCTTGCCGCTAAAACCGTAAGGATAGCTGAGGAACGCGAGTTTGACAATTAAAGCGTTTCCCAAGAGAGGACCGTGCAAGAAAAGGCGATCGATCGGCGACCAGTTGGGCGGGGCGCTAATGACTCAAATGTTACAAAAGTGAGATCTCGACATCTGCGGCATTTTGTGAACATTATGATGAGGAATAAATCATTGAGGGATACTTCATTGGATCGAGTAATGACTTTATTTCCAAGTGATCGCCGTACGAAAACTCTGAAATGAATGAACTAATTGAGAATACCCTTCTCTTTCTCTCTCTCTTGCGTTGTTCTTTCTTTTTTTTTTTTTTTATACATTATTAATTTCGCAAACTAAAATTCGGACAAAGGTACAGTGTTCATTTTCGAATCTGATCTCACGACGAGACATCACGCGGTCGATTGGAGAGATTGGAATGGTATAAGATTCTAGAGAGGAGAAAGAATTGAAAGGGGATCTGTGTGCCAGGTTCTCTTACAACAGTGAAAGAGATCACGTGAGGAATGCGATATACGAATCTATGTACAAGTATTTACAAATTCCCTTTATGAGAGAAGAATAGAACTTGGAAATCGGGCTTAGAGTTCGCTCTTTTTTTTTGTTTTTTGTTTTTTTTTGTTTTTCTCTTTTATCAAGCGTCCTTCTTCATCGTTTTTTTTTACATCTTCGTATTATCTCTTCGGTTGCAGGCGCGCCCTCGAATGGCCTTCCGGTGTATTTCTTCCGAACGATTAATGTACCTCCTCTCCTCACAAGTCAGGGATAGCCTAGTGGCGAGCCTATTTCTTGGTCGAGTCTACGTGACGTCCGAAGTATTCGGAAAATCTTCGGACACTTCGCTCTCGAAGACAAAACAGGACGATCTAACATCAGTCCATGAGGAGGTTGACCTCGATGCGACCTGTACCTTAATGAGTCAGGCCGGCAGGTCACCGCTCAGCGACCGTCGCGGCGGGGGACGTTGTCGTCATCACGACGGACGTCACGGTGGTTGAGACGGTCGTCGTGGCGGTCATCGTGGCTGTGTTCAGCAGAGGTTGCAACGGCTGCCTCGACGGTTGCGTCGTTTTCGCGTTTTCTTGATGTCCCGCGTTTGTCTCCTCCAGAGCGGTCTGCAGGTCGCAGATGTACTCGATCACCCTCTGAATCACCTCGAGCTTCGAAAGCCTCCGTTTGCGCGGCATGTCCGGAACGAGGGAGCGCAGCTTCGTAAGGTAAGCGGCCACCTCCTCGGCTTCGAGATCACGTCGAGCGATTCGCGAGCTGAAGCCCAGACCGTTGAGCGTCAGGACATGGCGACGTAATCGTGGTACACGGCCACCCATCGGGCTGACCACCATCGCCTTCATTACTGCTGGTGGCGACAGTCCGAGTCGATCAATTCGACAACACTCTCTCGCTCTTTCCTCCTCCCGACGCTTGCTTGCGAATACGCTGCGTGCGATAGTTCGACGACAGTCCACCACGGCGCACTCACATACACATATACACACGCGCGTGTGTATATGTTCCTATCGATCGTAGGAGCTGTCGAATACAGAGACGAAAATTTGTTAAAATGCACGAATCCAGAGTGGACGCACTTTTTTCAAGCTCTTTCTCTCTTGCTCCAAATCCAATCAGTATAGTCACACACGTTACTTGATGACCTGTCCTGTGTATCACAAGCTTAGCTCCCACTAAGTGACCGCATCCTCGTGCGAGATAGCTGTGACGAATGTGACAACTGCTCCTGATCACTTATTCCATGCGGATGTAGAGTGAACCGATTGTAAAGCTACAACTCAGATCGTGATCGTTGGACGGATCGAAGCAGACTGGCCTCCGCCCCTCACCTGCGTCTTTTTATAGCCTTGCGCCACCCCGCTCTCCGCGCGCACCCTCGAGACGCTTCTACCATTTGTACGGCGCAATCGCTGCCCGAGTGAAGTAGTGACGGCTTCGAGCGTCGCGCAACTTTGATCAACGATCAATTTTTTCCTCCCATCAATTTAGTTCAAAATTTCAATTTTCTTCGATTCTAATGTAAAAATAGAAGCAACAGTTTGTTTCTGGTATGGTAGACCTTTAATCTTTTTTACACTCTGGTATCATATTTTTCAAATTTATATCCAAAGTTTAAAATTTTTTTTTATTTTCTACTTCTTCTCTTGTGATATTTTTTTACTTCAGTTTACTCGTTTACATAGATGTTATCTCATCGTTTGCTCTACTGACGTTCACAGTGACTTGCAATTTACTTACATTTAGCGCAATCAGCTAAGTCGCACGAAATTGTGATCCAAATAATATTCCCGCGTGAACGCGAATATACAAAAGACAAACTATCAATCTAACGCGCGAAATTCGATTCGAAGCTATCAGTAGTCGGGGGTGTTTGACGACTATGCGACTGGCGGCGTCGGTGGAACACGAAGGGAGCGTAAAAGGGAGAAGGGAAAGGAGAGGGCGACCATTGTTGAACGTCCGGCGGCGCCAGCCACTAGCCATCACGGCTCTGCCACCACTACGAAGACATCATCGCCACCAACACCGTAACAGGCGGTTGGTCGACCACCACCGTCTCTCTCTCTCTCTCTCTTTCTCTACATGCCCGACGTACGGCGACGGTTGTTCACTAACCTGTACACCATGAATCCGGCTGCAATTTTCTGCAGCGACGAACGTTGCGCGAATAAATCACGCGCCTCTGTTTACAGACGCCTCGAGATGGCAATTACGTTGTATTATAAAGACGCCTGCGTTGGAGTCCGTTGTAATCGAAAACAAATTAGTTTCTGCGTTTCTTCTAAAAAGACAAGCGTTGAAAACTCTCTCAACGCGTCTTCTTTCTTTTAAAAATAATCAAATAAAGTCAAATCAATCGCTTTCTCTTTTATTTGCGTGTAAAATGTCCAATTGTTTCTCTTTTACGAGTATCGATACTTAAGCGCGTATTCTTTTCGCGATTCCGAATGAATCGAACTGTCGTTATCGGTCGAAGACAAGAACCCGCGCCCGTTGTTGTTCGTGGCGTTGTTGTACGCGGCAAATTAAAAAGAACAGCGGAATAGCTGTGCTCGCTCGACGAAAGAAGAGAGAGCTGGCCGGAATAGCCGGCGACACGCTTCGTAGAATTTCCAGGCGACCGACGCCTGGACAAACGAGAGAGTGCGTCTCGACACTCGTCCGAAGAAACAAATGACCTATGAGACAATTGAGGGCAGCGGGGTGGACGCGCGAAATCATTGACGGGGCCTCGCTTGCGGAAATCTTGCGCTTCCGCGTCGTAGTTCTGCAAGTGAGAAAAACCACGATGTTTCGGAATTTTTAATAAATTTAAACGCACAAAGTGCACGCACGCGAGTGAGAGAAAGAGAAAAGAGAGAGATATACGATTGCCACACTGTAAAGAAATTTGACTGTTACTCCTCGAAACTCATTTGTGTACATATCAACAACGTACGTAAGAATTGCAAAATCTTTTAAATAAACAACAGTTGGCAATATGAAATTCAAATGACGAAATATATATATTGTATGTTTTTGTAATACAAAGATATGAAGTGCACATAGTGAGTGCGAGTTATCGTACATTTGGTTTCAAAATGATGATCTAATAATTTCTTAATGATAAGTGTATATCAGAGTAAACGAAAATATGATGTATTTTTTTTTTTTTTTATCTCTCTCTTACGAGAACCTGGCGATATGAGTTAATTCAAAGAAAAAACCAGTTACAAGACAAAGCGCGTCTGAAGTAGAAAAAACTTGCTGTCTCATATTTGCTCGATATCGCGTGACCAGAATGTCGGTGAAAAAAAAAAGAGACACTTGCGATATTTCTCTCTAGAATGCGAAATTTATCTTTTTTTTTTTTTTTCACGTGACAGTATATTGATGAGAAAGATGAGTTGTTGTTGGGGCGAGTGGAACACGCGTCAACTTTGATACTCGTCCAATCCGCGTCCGACTGAGATGGCGATAAAAATATAATACGACGATCTTTCGCAATATTTCTTGACAGCTCACTAATATACGCGGTTACGACGTGTTCCTTTTTTTTTTGCGCCGATAAAGATAAAAAGAGGCAAGTCATACCTGCCTATGTGGCGCGTAAAAAGATAGCCGTTCACGGATATTATCGGCAACGATCGTTATTCAGTACAGCGCGACGACATGTTCGTCGCATAATTTCGCGACACGGTTGTTGAGAGAGATATGTGCCCTCTCTCTCTCTCTCTCTCTCTCTCTCTCTTTTCCACGGAGAAGCGCACGAGAAACAATTCCGTGGAAAATTACAGGGAATAAAATCGAATGCGAGACGCCCGTGAGACTCAACGGGCAGACACTTGCGCGGTTACATACCTGAGCAACCGGATCTCATTGACTCCTTGACCCTCGAGTTTAAGAAGTGAAGTTCCCTTGACCCGGGAATAAATAAACCGAGAAAACCGCCGCTTGCTGTATCCGCGCGAGAGAATTTACTGATACTTTTCATTGAGATTTCTAACCATTCCGCGCACAAATGTTACGAAGTCATCACAGACTTCATCGGTGAGATTGCTCAATTAACGCCGGAAATTATAGTTTCGCTAAGTTGCTCAATTTCCTCTTTAATACGCGCCGTTTTCGCGCATTGAAAATTATGTAAAGAAACGTCAATTGTGGAATGTATATCTTATAACGAGTCGTATTATGCAACGAAATCTTAAGCGAGACGATCTTAATAATATAAATGTATGTGTGTGTGAAGAGCGCACTTTGAATTTTTTGACTGTAACGTTCAAGTTACACAAGCCAACAACTTCACGAGTCCGCGCTTTGCATGAATCACCGAAGGAAGTGACTCGGCCGGATCAGCCGCCCAGGTGTTGATTCGTTCGTCCGTACTCATCTTGCACTTGAGCGCATTCTGTAATTCTTGTTCGCACGCAGATAAAAGAAAATTCTTATCCTTTGCTCGATAAGAGACGCGATTTGTTATCGATGTATTCTGAAGTTTGAATGTACCGAGGAGATATTTTACATCGTGATAAAACCGCCCCCTCCCCCCCTCCCCCTCCCCGATCGCAGCTAGAGCTCGCGCGATTATCAATATTAGGCATCGTCTTCTTGAGTTCGTTTTCACGTATCTGATAAAACGAGATTATCACCGTCAATAGCGATCGTGGTGAGAAATAGCTGCGTGTTAAAACTCGTCTTCGCGTCTGGGATCTGTGTGATAACTTGCACGTGTTGAATGAATGAATCTCTATGAAGCGGAGTACACATTAGCGAGAACCGAGTCGAATCTCGAAGTTTGCGCATCGCGAACAATTTGGCGACCGCGCAACTTCTCGTTACGAACATAATGTTTTAATAAAATAATAAAGTAGTCTCTTTGAATATAACGTATGTTTCAAAATTTCAACTCGAGAATCAAAGTCGAGAGTTCGCCACTGTGAATCTTGCTTTACGAATATAATACGTACTTAATTACATGTGTATATAAAAACCAAGAGAACCTACTTTATTTATAATAAAAACTCTTTTTTCTCTTCCGATTATTCTTCTATCAAATAAACGGCTCGACGGATTTTCATCGATTGTGTTTATATCTTATTTATGTTTATATATAGCTGTTTTTTTTTTTTTCGATGATTTGAGGCAGGACTTTGAGCGTTTGAAACACGCGAAGAAAAAGCGTCGCACCTATAATTAGCGCGTCGTCTCACCCTGTGATTCCTCTACCTTTCCGCGCTTCACCTTCGTTCACGAAAATCGAGACGACAGAAAGAGAGAGAGAGAGAGAGAGAGAGAGAGAGAGAGAGAGAGAGAGATAGGAATTAAGACCGCGATAGAAACGCGCGCATCTTCGCACACAGCTGCCGCGCACACAACGCCGGGAATGCATCGAAGTGAGCCCCGTAATCGTGCGCTTCCTTCTGCCATGTCGTATCCGTTCGTGAGATAGCGAACTGCATAGTAGGCGCTCACCTCTCGCCGCGCATACATACGCACGTATCGTATATTCTTACGAATAAATTTGCGGAGCGCCGTCGTGCGTGCGTGCGTGCGTCGCGTAGCGAGAGAGACCGCCGAGAGTTTCCCTTAAAATGCGCTACACGGCCGATTTAACCCAGCAGCGCCTTTGCATACTAATTCCACACTGTCCCGTTCGAACGAGGGGAATGCGAATCTCGCCTCGCAACTTTGTCAAGCGCAAATTGCGAGACAAGTAGCACGAGTATAGAAAGCAGAGTATATGTCTCGCGACGTATAATAATGAATTTTTGGCAGAGGTTTTAGAATATATATATATATATATATATATATATATATTATATTTTGTGCAACATATGTAACTTTTTTTAGAATAATATATAATAAAAGAAAAAGTTACATAATAAAATATATTAACGAATTTATACAATAATTATATAATTGTTTCCAGACACAGGTATGTGAACACGATAACACTGGGAGAGACGTAACAGCGGAAAGAAATAATTTAATTTTGAAGAAATCTTGTTATTTTATATATATATATATATATATATATATATATATATATTTTTGGTTGAGATTTACCAATTGTTTTTTTGTATTTGTTATGATTTATTCAATTTGGGTATAAGTTGTTTAGAACGAACGTACTAGTATGTATATATGTACATATAGAATCGCGTAAACATATATACGGAAACACATCGTTCTCTCTACTATCAAAACGCGATTATCTCAATTGTTCATCGATCACGAAACGATTCCAAATAAGATAAGTGAGAATGATTCCACAATTATTAATGTGACGCAATCAAACAGATACACAACAAGAAAAAACAAAACATATATATTGATAGGGGG